CGCGGGAGCATCCGCGTCATCAGCGTCAAGCGCGTTCAGTTGATCTTCCTGGTCGTTCAGGTGGTGGTACACCAGCCAGAAAATGATACCGGCAATGAACGAGGCGCAAGCCAGACCCACAAACATCCACATGATAGCAGGGTCATAGGCGGCAGGAGTCAGGGCCTCGGCGAGAGCGGAGCCAAAAGCGTTGGTAAGCAGGTACATCGACTGCACGAAGGACTTCATCGACGGAGGAGCCTTGGTGTAGGCATACTCCAATCCAGATACCGAAGCGAAAATTTCAGAGAGACCAATGAACACGTAAGCGGGAGTCTGAATCGCAATGTGAACATGGTTGCCAGTGGTCGACCCATCAACTTCCGAAGCATCGCACAGGGGGTGCTCGTAGCAAGGACCTGCGGAATAAATAAGGTGCTGAACAATGGCTGCGTACATCATAGCCAGGGAGGCAACGACGAAACCCAGGGCGATACGGGTAATGGGCCGGAAGCGAATGCGTAAGCGACGCAGCAATGGGTACACCAGGGTCTCCAGGATGGGGATGAAGACAATGATAGAGATAGGATCAAAGTTCTGCATGAGATCGTTCGGGATTCCATGGCCCTCCATCTGGCCGGCCTGGGTGACGAAGTTGCTCGAGAATTGACCGTAGACAACCCAGTAGATCGGGTAGAAACAGAACACCCGGCATGCGACAAGGGCACGCTTGAGCTCGTCAATAAAGTGATCGTCCCAGGGCAGGTTGGTCCTTGCACCGCCGTTGGCCGCCTGCCAGCTGGGCTTGGGAGCATCCATGTTGCGGTTGACAATCATGATCCACAAGGCCTTGAAGGCATCGGTAATGATCGAGCCCTGCGGAGGACGGACGACGTAGTATTTGCGGCCAACGACGAGCACCAGGGTACCGACGGCGAACATGCACAGGCAAAGCAAATAACCGGACCAGAAGCCGATGTACTTCTCCATGTAAGGGGTTGCCAACAAAGACAGCGAGCCCACGTTGATACAGCCATAGAAGATCATGTAAATGCGCTGGATCGTCAGGGAAGGATCGATAACAACCCTCTCGCCTTTCGGGGTAGTTGAGATTGCCATCTTCTTGCGCTTGTACTGGTCGGCAATGAGAGGGGCAACATTACTCTTGATACCACCAGTGCCCAGGCCAATGATCAAGATAGACACGATGAAGCCTCCAACACCGGCACCATGGTTGAGAGCAGTAGGGATCGAGGTGCAAACAAGGATGAGCAGACCGACCAAATAGATGATGCAGAAAACCACAATCGTCTTATATTTGCCGAGGTATTGGTCAGCAACGATGGCACCGATGATGGGAGTAACTGGTTATGGTATCATCAGCACGTGAGCCCGAGAGCGCATGAGGTGATAAACGAACCATAACACCAGAACTGGAAAAAAGTGGTTAGACCAGTGGCTCCCTGATGACCCATGCCCAGGGCACCACGTCCCTCACTCCCGTCTAGAGGGCGGTCGACATAGTTCTGGAACATGCCAGACATTCCATAGTAGGTGAAACGCTCGCACAGCTCGACAATCGCGACAAGCCAAGCGGAGATAGGTAGATGTTCGGCGACATGGCGAAGAGTAGCGGTCTCCTCGGCGTTGGGTTCCTCGCCATCGGGAGTGGTACTCAATGCCTTCTCGCTAGCCTCGGGAAATTCGGTCTTTTCGCTTACGATGTTGTCGGCGACGATACCCTGGCCCTGTTGTTGCGGCCTGGGATATAGATTAGTACTGGACTTAGGAAAGTGACAGTAGGGTGAGTTGTGACGGGTAAATGACTCATTCGAGTCATTAGCCATGTAATCTGGCATGGCATGATGGAAAAGTAAAACGCCAAGCAAAGGAGTGGTGGACACTTACTGGGTGATGCCAGCCTCATGATCTCCAGACATATTTGCAGGGACCAGGCAGGAAAATCCCAGGGACGAACGGGGAACTGGACGCAATTTTCCTCAGGAAAGGTGTAGGCACGATATCCTCACGAGGGAAACGGCCCTCACCTTATACTGGTGGTGGGAGATATAGAGAGATAGCCGAAGCGGGACCGTCTTGCCCCGGCGCGACCAATGACTACCATGAAACGTCCCTGTCTGTGGTCAACTGAGGACCAAATCGCTTAGGCCGAGGAATGATTCCGAATGTAACCCAAAGGCCGGAGGCGACCCTCGATATGACAATAATTGACAAGCAGCGTTAAGCACCAGCCGAGATGGCGGAAGTCTGCCGTGATTGGCCCGCCCGTCCAAAGCCCGGCTACAGAATGGAACGCCAAGAAGTCGGAGTTTGCCGGTGAGAAGGCGACGAAATCTTCCAGAGTTTCCACTCCCTCGTGGCTTCCCCTCACATGGTTTTTCAATTCCTTTGTCCCTTCCCCGTTCGTATGCCCAGCAAGATTGCAAGAAATGTCGCTGTCTCAGTTCCGTCTCAACAAGCCAGTCTTTCCTCCTGTTAGTTCAGGCCTCCGGATCGCATGTCGACTGTTGCAGCGGATTCATCGAGTTGGACGCCAAGCTGCAAGAGGGCTTAATCGTTGGTGCCGTCGGTAGAACCACCGCATGCGGAACGCGTTAGGTAACATAAACCTTTAAGCTGTTGACCTGCCGATAAGCCTGGCGTGTCTCATTCGTGGGCCAGCGGAGTACGAGGCAAACTCCGTCGATGTCTTCGCAGGGCGCAAGGGCGCTCATCGTCGGCGCATCCAGTCCAACGTCCCCCGCCCATGAGACGATCAGCAGGGAGCGGCTGCAACGTCGGGTTTCCCCGCGCCCTGGCGATGGTTGACTCCGTATGGAGTGTGTTGATGTGGCCCATCAGCTCACTCGCGTTGCTTCATAGTTCATAGGTGTAGGATGTAGCGTGCCCCGGCCAAGACCCTGCTTATCTTCCTGCTGGAATGTAATCACCGTCATAGCCCTGTTGGAAGCACGGTGATAGGAGGCGGCGAGTGAGACAATGGCCCCCCATCGTGTGCGGAGGTGGGAAGTGGGAACACAATTCATGACAGTGCCCTGGCAAGTTGATTATTAGTCTCTCATCTGACATACAATCGTGGATGTAGCCATATGCAATAAGGGAAGGCCCTCTGCAGTCTGCTCATGGCGACGATCGAGGCATTCCTAATTGGGGTGGAGTTCGTAGCCGACCGGCTCAAGCCGCCCAGAACAGGCCAGCGGCGGATTTGTCTGCGAGAGATCATCCGGCTATGGAACGGAGTGGCATTAGGCAATCACTGGAACCGCATTTCAAATGCACTTGCAGAGCACTTGCATCTGATGCAACTGAATCGAAAGAAGAACGACATCAATTTGTGCCTGGACTGTGGAGAGAAGGAGACACGCAGGCAGCAGAAACTCGGAAGGCGCGCCCGTTGCGGTTAAGTATCCTCCTAATCCTGGCCTTCCGAAGGCCGACTTCGCCCTCCCTCGACCGGTGATTCGTCATCCGTGGCCTCGCTGGCTTTGTCCTTTTCCACCTACGCTGACCGAGAAACAGCCAACGATATGTCCGAGCCTGCTGGGATTGTACTTGGATGATTGGATCGTCTTCTTCTTATCTGGTCAATTCCATGCACTAGACTCCAACACCTCCGATGTTCGTCCGATCTGTCGACAATATCGAGCGTGTTGGGGATGGCGTGCTTGCCAACCTTGGGTCTTAGGGCGATAATTGGGTGACTTCCTTGTATTGATGGCCGGGTAACTGAGTGTTAATATGTGTCTGGCCTCTTCCCAAACGCTACAATGACTCAGTACGGGGTACCTGCGAGTGACTCCTACGGACATGGCTTGTCGCTGCCCCAACGGGATTGGCTCGAGGATGAGATGGTGGCAGAAATAAGCTGCTAGGATGATCTTCAGGGTCCCCTTCGTTGAGCTGTGAAATGGCTCTGTTGGAACTGGGTTTCAACCCGCAAGGTTAACGCATCCCTCTCGTACTCGAGCCTGCAGTACATCAGAATTCACATCAAGGATTATCTGCTCCCTCGAATCACACAAGATGTCGGCCGAAAAGCTGAACTCGAAGTCTCGTCAAGCGGTTAGTCTGAATAGGGACTACTATATTGGGCATGAAACAACCCTTTATTGCTCTTAAACTAGGCGATCACTTCTTGTCAAGCTCCACAACTCCACACATCGGCGCAAAGCAGGAGACTGTGAGTCAACAATTTGCGTCCCTTTACTAAAGCACTTGGTGTTCTGGTAACAGGCATACTACAGACCTGTAGACATTATGCACCCAGATGAACAGGATACACATCTCCACTATAATCTTACGTTGAGGAAGTGTTTCGGGCTTACTCGCATCGGTCTGTAAGCATGGAGAAGAATGTGGCAGAGACAGTGTACACTCTCCCGAGAGTATGACAGCGACAGAAAAAGGAGGCCAAAAAGAGACCGGGACGAGAACTAAAAAGACAAACAGATGAAACCAAACCCAAAAAGAAGAGAAGACCAGAGTGGAAGGAGGGATTCGTTAAAGAAAAACTGATTGCTGGCGGATAAAAAAGACTGCCCCCGTGCAGATTCCAACCAGGGCGCTCTTCCAAGAATACAGGAGCGCTACATGGACTATTCCTACTACGAACCGGCTAAACCAGGAAGGAAGGAAGGCCCACCTCATGTTCGACATGGACCACGACGTTGTTCAAATTACAAGGGCTTATTGTGTGAGGTATAGACAGCATATACGAGGTGCGTATCGAGAAAATAAATATACAGAGCATGTTGAAATAGATGTGTTGTTTCATGAGGGGAGAAAAAAGTTTGGCCCCAGCGCGGACTCGAACCGCAGCCCTCTCTCTCCTAACGAATAAGTGGAGTACTCGACCACTGACCTAGTACGTAGGAAGCTACGGAGGGTGAGGGTGTCCTAATTAGCACTAGAGCATGGGTCTTTCATTTGTCGACCTTCAGCCAAGTATCCACCCTTCAGGTGGGGGACACAACAGAGGGAAAAAAAAAAAGAAGACAACTTGCCCCCACGCGGGATTGAACCGCGGACCTCTTCATGGCAGTATTGTCATACGAGTGAAGCGCTCTACCACTGAGCTACAAGGGCTGTCTGTTGAAAGCTGTTATCTAACTTTGGTTTACATACTACAAACGTATATTCTTATACATCGTTTCCCGACTACATTCACCCTTGAACATAACGAACACCTGAATAGATTGTGCATAAATCCAGTTCATAATTTTTCATTTGTCGACTTCTATTGATCCATCTCTTAAATCTAGAGATTCTCATATATCTACCTAATCTCTTTCACTTTGCTGGATATCTACTATAACCAACGCCTAGCTAGCTATACCAAGCTTACCGCGTACACAAAAACCTTAACAAAACCCGAGTCTGCAGAGAGCGGGATCCGTGTAGAACTGCTCTTCTCGCTCAAACAAAAGGGGGGTAGATTATCAAGTTCTGTGACGAACAATGTAAGAACGCCAGAAGAGGAATGACCTGTGGAATCTATCGAACAGGGCAATCTGAAAACCTCCCTACAATTGTAAGCAGTGGCGTATTTTAGTCCTCTTGGTACGGCAGCTCAATTTCCTAGCGAGATGTTATCGTCCGCCGAATGCGGCTCATATGCTCCCTACGACGAGAACTTCAGTATGACAATGAATATGACTGAGATGTAAAGCTATTACAAGAGAACGACAATCTCTGGCGGTGGCTTTACTGGAACAAGTGGAAGAGAATGTAGGTGCCATCACCGATAATGTAAAATTTGACGAGTCGGTCTCGTGGCAAAGTGACGCTCTAGATTTGTGTCTCCTCTTTCCACACGCTAAAGGCGTCAGGGCTAAGGAGGCATTTAGATAGGTAGCGGAGTAGCTAAGTTATCTGTAGGATATAGGTTCCTGGAGTTCACGGAGAGGCAAGATAAACAATGAGACTGAGCAGCTCTAATCACAGTGGAGCAGAAGGGTCATCCTCTATCAAATTGACTCTTTGTTCATAGGTAGCCATAGCAACATGAGGCCTAGTAGGTATCGATCTATGATTATACTCGATATACTGTGTATACCAGTTTTATACGATTGCTATAGCAACGCCAAGGATTATTCTGAGTATGGGGTAGCAGGCTGACCACCCCGTATCCATACTGCCGTCAATACTGATATGTCTATGCAGTTCTGTGACTCGTTAAGTAGACCACAACTCTCAATTGAAAAATGGTCCACATATGTTAATTATTTGTCTGTTCCCTAATGCAAGTCAAGTTAACTTCGATATATTTGGGGGGATGAAGTACTTGAAATGGGCTCGGAGACTCGATATCTACAGAACACCTTTTAAATCTATATTATGCTACCCCAGGATCTGATAGGCCGGCCATTGAATACTCTAAATTAAGAATTATGGTTCTTTATAACTCCTTAGTTGCTTAATTTCTAGAGGAAGTCTCCACTTCACATCTATACTTATAATGCCTATGACCATGTATCAGCCTTTCTGCTATGAAGCATCCCTAAAACTATAACTGTCCCCCGACACGTTTCCATCTACGTCATTAGTTTATAACCACGGAGCGACTCTTGATATACTCTTATCAGCTCTTCTTTATAATCCCCCTAGATATACTGTTTATCTCAGTTCATCGCCATGTACTCACTTTTCATACAGGACAATACCGTTAACTTAAGACTAGTATGAATATGAAAGTTATGTTTTATAAAGTACAAGAGTCTAAAGAATCTTACCTCGACTTTCGGAAGTATGTTCAGAACGCCTCCCACGTGTAGGATAGGACCAAACTATTAGCTACTATAGCACTGCTGACAAAAAACACAGAGGACCAATTCTACATGAGCATCTCTCGTGGATAAAAGATATCGTTGGGCTACGTCCAGAGAATCAGTCGAAACTATAGCCAGGAGAGCTATACTCCATAGCCTTAAATAATAATAAAAAAGAAAAAAAAAACTGGAGCTTGTTGCATATTCTGTAACCGAGAGCATGAAACAATTTCTGTGAGGCCAACTGGCCACCTGGCTTTGACATCACTCATACTGAGAGATTTTTTACGACATATAGTGTTGCTTTCTTCCACATAATATGGTGATTATACATAGTGGTAACATGGAGAAGAGGGTCTATTAAATCCAGCACCCACCCACCGTCTAGTAGCTCCAGTTATACCTGCTCTCTATGAACTGGGGGCCTTCTGGTGTAGCCAGTGTATACTATATACGATATCTTCATTTAACACCGCTCGAACGCCCATTAAGCCATATAGAGCCCCAAAGTTCTTCTCACTTGCTCTATTACTTCCCGATTGCTACGTTAATTCCTATGAAACATTCTACGGCCAAGTAATGGGTCTATGATTAGGTCTCAACATGTGAATTCCAACTCAACTAACTCCACAATTACATCGTCTGAGACCGTCCCTCAACAAGAGCAACTCCACCAAGACAGTCCATTATCCTCCACTTCCACCTCCACGTCGCACCCCGGCCATGCCTGCCACCTCTGCCACGCTCTTCCTCTAAACCAAAATCAAGGAACCTGACACGCTCATCTTGCTCCAAGACTAGTACAGGAAGTGGTTCATTGCGTCGGGAGAATCACGGAACCAAAGATGTTGCGAATGAGCAGGAAGGAGGGAAGAAAAAAAAAGTGAAAAGAATAAATCCATCCCACGTACTGTGGAATGGAGGTATCGTGAGAATCCACCTGAGTACCTTATAAATGATGCGTTTTCTGAGCTGCTGCCAGAACACGCATTACTTATAACGTACTCAGGGGGATTCTCACAGGTATCAGGTCTGTTCTGGGCCTATTTCTTCCAACCATCCACGGCCCAGGGTGTACATTATGGGGTGTGGGAGGAGAGAGGGAAAAAAGAAAATAGAAACAAAGAAACAAAGAAATGAAGAAATGAAGAAACAAAGAAACAAAGAAATGAAGAAACGAAGAAAGAAAGAAGGAAGATAATAGAATGAATAATGAGAATAGAAATAAAACCGGTAAGAAGAGCAATAGAAAACAGAAATGAATAATAAAAAGTAAGTAAGAACTAAGAAGAATAAGTAGTAAATAAAAAAACAGAAAGTAATAATAAGAACAAGCAATAAGAATGGACAATAAGAATAGACAGGGAAAAAAAAAGAAAAAGAAAAGAAAAGAAAAGTAAAACAAGAAGTAATAAGAAACAATTAATAAGAAACAACAACAAAAATAAGTAATAAAAAAGTAATAAGGAATAGATAATAAAAACGAGGAAGTAAGCAGCAAGAAACTAGTAAGAAAGATAAGTAACAAGAAACAAGCAGTGAGTAGGAAACAATAAGAAATAAGTAAAAATAAATAAGAAATAAATACTCAAAAAAAGGAAATAAGAAACAAGCAAGAAAAATAAGTAATAAAGAACAAGTAGAGAGTATAAGCAACAAACAATAAGTAATAAGAAATAGGCGGCAAATAATAAGTAAAAAGAAACAGCAAGAAATAAGTAATAAGCAGTAAAAAGCAATAAGAGCAAATAACAAGAATAAGTAATAGAAGTACAATAAGAAGTATAACAAGCAACAAGCAACAAGCAATAAACAATATGATAAGAAGCATAATAAAAAGCACAACAAGCAGCAAGTAACAAGAAGTGTAACAAGAAGCACAATAAGAAACACAAAAAGCACAATAAACAACAAGCAGAAAGAAAAACAAGTACAACAAGAAGCACAACAAACAGCAAGGAAAAAGGATAATAAAGAACATAACAAGAAACATAACAAGAAGCAAGAATAAGCAGCAAGAATAAGCAGCAAGAATAAGCAGCAAGAACAAGTAACAGAAAGCACAATAAAAAAAACAATAAGAAGCATAAAAAACAGCAAGTAACAAGTATTAAACAACAAGCAATAATTAATATAAATAAGCAATAAGAACAAGTACATAAAACACAATAAGAACCACAACAAGAACAAGCAACAAGAACAAGAACAAGCAATAATAACAAGCAACAAGAACAAGCAACAAGAACAAGCAATAAGAACAAGCAACAAGAACAAGCAACAAAAAGTATAACAAGAAACACACAGAAAGATAAGAATGAAACGTTACAAAAGGAAAAGGGAAGGGAAGAGAAGGGGAAGAGGCTTCGGCATTAAATAGGGAGCCCAGGATTGTATGACTCTCATGACGGAACATGTTGATGTGCATTCAGAGCGTCTGAAACAGTCACGGCCAGATATTAATAGATCAAGTGAGTCAAAATAGTGACGTCCGGGCGGGCTATAGGGCTGGCATACGCTCTGGTCCGAGACCGTGCCTAGACGCTGGATGACTCGAAGGACTGCAGGAACAGATCATGATTCACCAAGTGGATGACAGTATTGGTGAACAGTACCCTCATTCCCATCTGGGCCTTGAAAGAGTACGAAAGTTCCAACCACTTTGAGTCATCCGCTTACAATTGGACTACACCATTCAAGTGTAGCCCGCCGAGGAACAGCTCAGATGCATGACCATAGCCACCGCAAGAGGCAGCGCCAAGGGGAACGCAAGCGACAAGAGGACACATATCTACAGATGAAGTGACGGAAGATGTTTAACAGGTTTTTCGCTTTTTTTTCGGCCCGCTAAGGGCATAAAACTATAACTCGATGAAATATGGTATAAACCTCGTCAGAAATACGTACTGAGGAAAAGATACATGCTCATCACGATGACTGCAAATGCCAGCAAGTCGAACTCGAGCCCTTTCTCATTCGTTACCACCCATCATCACAAAGCCTTTCCATAATTCCGTAGCAAAGAAGCAGATCCGCAATGAATACCTCGTAAATGGAACGTGCATAGCAAGTTTCGTGCCTTAGACGGTGTACTTGGCCTTGGCTCTCGTGCTGCCACTGTGCGCACTGTCCGTGTGACCCGAGAACTCAACAGCATCAGCCTCCTTGAGACGGAGGACTTCCTTGAAACGCCGACCAATGGATTCGAGGATTTCCTTGCCCTGCGCAGGTGTACGGTTGGTCTTGTCTCCGGGGATGCTCTTGCCAACAGTCCGTGTCCACAAACCGACACGATAGAAGCCCTTGCGGACATTCACAACG